TCCATACAGAATCAAAACGAGAGACTGATGTTAAAGGAGAATGCTCATGGATGTATGGACCGCCGTACAATGGTTGCATCAATACCAAACAAATGTTAAATGATCGTTTAATATTCAAATTAGTATGACAAATTGGAATTTTGAAAATAAAAACAGGGGTTTTAATGTTATTGTAAAAAATGTGACATAACCTCAAATCCTTAATAACTCCTATTTAAAGTTGGTTTACAGCTATTTTGGGTACTTTTTTATTCTGTTATTTTTGATCAACTTGAGTCTTTCACTGTTTTTCCAACCTACTGCATAGATTTTCATGACAACACAGATTTCAGTGATGGCAGATTTACGTATAGGTAAATAAAAACATTAATATAGGACACTTTTTATTAGATTACATATATTAATTGTACACATTATATTTGAATTACCAGTATATTTCAAATCAACATAATCTTCATAGAAAAAATAATCTAAATAAGGCGCCAGAGCAGTAACATCATTGTAACGACCCCAACTTAAAAACTGAACTACAGTCATTATGTGGTCCTAACAGCCCACAGGTTGTTCACCAAGGAGACAGCTGCAATAATAACCTTTTATAGCCTCTAATATGTCTGCCAAAGCAGCATCTCTACTGATAAGTAAATATGAGTTATATGTATGCTGCTTAAGTGTCAGGATTTAATCCTACCTCTTAATAAATAATTATTTAGACCTAAAACAAGAGGAATATCATCTACAAACAAACAAATTCAAACAATTTGTAGCTTTTGTCTTACAATGTTCTTATGAAGCTCCTGGATTATTGAAAAGAGTGGCCAATCTTTCGTTGTTATCAGCAGTTCTTAATTTAACTAAATAAATACAAAAGGCTATAGAAGCGTTTGGCACTTGATCTGCTAGATTGGTATACAGTTGAGCAAATTATAAAACTGTTCAGAGTTCATAACAAGTCAATAATGACATAAATGAGGAGACATAATTGAAACATTAGAAAAACCTAATTAGTAATTGGCTGATCGCTGTATCATAATCATTATATTATCAAACTGTGTGCCAGTAAAATCTCTTAATTAATTCAAATTCATTCATTTAAAAATTCATTCCATGAACCATAATTCAAAAAGTGATGACAAACACATGCACCAGCTGGTATGCACAATTTATTATTATACAATAAGAGATCCCTGATGGTAGATGAAATAAGTAGACATTCAGGCTCTAAACAATTTGCAAATACACAGGATACATGTATGATGATGATGATACAATTTTTAGAGTCACTTTTTGAACTGCTTCTAGTCTTGGTTGTGGCAGAGGAGGTGGCACAAGTATAGAATGATTGCCACTTAATGTAGTATCTACAAGAGTAAGGCGACTTGAGTCATGTTGTTGTTGCCTTTGTACTTGTTCAATCTCCAACATGCAGCACATACATGTTCCATTCTTGAGATCTAAAAAGATAACATTAATAAAAAATAAATAATTAATATGGAAAATTCCTTTCTGTTTATTTTAAGGAATTTCTGTATTCTCTCATCATCTATTACCTGTCTAGTGATAACAAAACAAATAAAATAAAATAAAATAAAATCTAAATGTTACCATGACTACTACAAACATCTTAGTTCTGGATTTGTAATTAAGTATGATATGCAATAATAATATACAGTAATAATAGTTTTCTCATAAGATTGTGATAGTAAATGATTCCTAACCTAAGTATCTAGAACTGTTATTACTTTTTTAAGAAGTCAAACAAAACAGTTAATATATATTTCATACAGTTAGTTGCACATGACATTAGACAAATAATATTAGCTCACCTGAGTAGGATTTATCCATGACTGTAATATGTTGAGGGCTAAACTGTTCTTCTACAAAAAAAAATTAAGTATCACCTCTTGGGCCCTGGAAATACAGTTTTACAATACACTGGTTTAGCCAGTCAAATAGTCTAATCGTCATCGATTCCTCATTTGTAGTAGAATGCGTGAGTAGAGAACACTACAAACACACATACGGTAAATAAACGTCCTGTCGTGAATGCACTATTTTTCCTGAAAAAATCTTGCCTGTCTTAACAACTCAGAAAAAAAACGTTTCATACGTTCACACGCAATCATTATCACTTCACAATTTATGTAAAAAACTCAATCAACACAAAAATATGAGTACTAACAACAATTGACAATTCTCCAATCATTTGCAATAGGGTAGGGTGGTGATGATCTGAAATTGAATATACGAATAATCGATGGAATTAAAGAAAAATGTTTTTGTATATAATCGATTTTACGCAATGAATAGATCTTTTCAGATACAAATAAATCCAGATTCAATTAATTAATAAACAGCATAGAAATAAATATAATTACTAGTTATTACTTAGTTAATGATGAAATCGACAGTTAGGTGAGCGCCTTCTATAAAAACGATTAAAGATTTTCGCGGAATTAACCTTCTTTAACATTATTAATACGTGTCGAATTTTTAAACTTAGATTCGAATACCCCGGCTACACGTTCCGTCTTACCTAAGAGCATGCCTGCACAGATTAACTAGCCTCTCTTTGTCGTCATTGTCGTCCGTCCCTCTCTAACTTAGATACTTTTATGGACGTAGAACAGGAAGCGGCACAAGCTAATGTACAATCATTGTATTTTGCGTACAAGAATAAGGCTTTTTGACTACGTAGGCAAGACAAAGCGCTGGGTAAGCACGTGCCTCTTTTTGTCCGACTACCTACATGCTCGACATTTTATCATTTTCATCTCTATGCTTAACACGTTACATCCAGTAAGTAGACACTACATACAGCAAGAGACGTGATAGGAAAGTGTCGAGTTTAGCCAAGCGACGGGTTTCTGACTATGACGTATTAAGCATAGAGACGAAATAGATAAATAACGAGTTGTCATCGCAACAGTTAAGACAATAAAAACGTAAAATCACTATTAAACAATAATTAGTAACACGTGATTTATTTGCTTTTTGATGCCCCACTCATCGGTAACAAAAACAACAATCGATTATAATGTATAACTAATAGGGTACTATGGCATCACTATTTTTACGATAAATAAACAAACGTCAGATATCCGGATCAAAATATAAACAGTACTATGACTAATATTATTTTAAAAATTATTCCCTGTTCAAAATAGCCATTCTGATAGACCATCGTACGTATAAATTAAAGAAAATAATTATCATAATAATTTTATCTTGAGGCATGAGACAAAACTGTACCAAATATGGGCATTCTCCTTTAGTTTTAAGTTTCCGAGAATCATGCTAATACGACATCACTGTCGTGCTTTATCTACGATTCGATTATTCGATTTATTCCTGTTTCGCCTCACTTTTACTTAACTTTAAAAGAACAGTCAGTAGAAAGACGTGATTTAAATTCCCAAGAGACACGTCATCCTCATAGTCATGCGTCGTTTTTTAAGTGTCACTTAATTCAACGTTAACAGATATTAGTCACTGGTAGTTAATTAGTCATCAAACGCCGTCGTGGACATATTTGTTAAAGGACATCATTTAAGCCCCGGACATTTAATCTTTGCTTAGGTACACATTATGTAGAATATGGATCAGATAACAGGGTTCACTAGGACACTGGCAGTCGCAAGTAAATAGTTCCCTTAATACGGGCTTATCTAAAACTGTCACGATAAACATTATTACTACATAATTAATAGGTAGCCAAAGAAAACAATGCTATGATTGCTGGACAGTCCTAACGATGCCTTTAGTAGAAAAACTTCTGAATGACTTTGAGAAGTAACTGCTGTTAGGATTATGGGGAGACAGTGAAAGGCGTTGTTTTAATGGTTGAATTAAATGTTTTATTTATATTAATTAGGTAGATGCGTACATTATGCAATGGCCGGGGGCGAACGACTAGTTGCCATGCCACTGTTAGGTAATATTAAGGTTGCCAACCCTACTATATACTAACTAATATAGTATCCTACTATATTAGGGGATCAAATATTATATTTCTAAAAAAAATATACAGTAGGCGACACTAGTATATTTTGCTTTAAGCAGATACATTCAGTAATGGCAAAATAAAATTTAATCATGAAGGTATAGAGCAGCAAATAAACATTCTTTTCAAAAATAAAGTCAATATTTTAACCACAAACTATTTTTTTTAAGTTTTGCCATATACTATATTTTTAGAGGTAACAGCTTCGAAAATACTGCATTTGATAGAAAAAAAGTTGGTAACCCTAGATTACGGTTACAAACCGTTTGAGAGAATTCCTAACTAAGAAAGAAATATTACTTTTTATAAGTTAGTGTAAAAAAATGTGTAAAGGAGAAAGTAATAAGAACAAAAGATAGACATATTTTTATTTATTCCAACACTTGGGTACTTATTACACTCGACAGCAAATTAACCGGATCACCCGCTAGTACTTTTGAGCTCTGATTCGATTTCTCAAAAAATATAAAACTTACTTAAAGTACTGTCAACTTACTTTGTAATAAAGCAAGAAACATAATGCTAACGTTTTGCTATTTTTTTATAAAGTTGCAATTATGATAAATGCTTTAAATAAAAATATTGTAAGTATTTATTTCAATAAATTAGGATACATACCATTTCTTTAGTTTTTGTCCATCGTTTTCTCAGACGTGTGTATATTTTCTAAGATTTTTACTACTGATTAATACCAATGGATAACGACTCTTCTTTGGAAAATTCTTAATAAAAACTTAATAAATTTTTATTACTCTCAATAGTTTTCTGTTTATTTTAATCATTATGAAACATACTGTATAAACATACTATTTCTGTAGGTATAACTTTGATAATTGTAAGATTTATTCTTTTGAGAAAATCAAATCAGAGTTCTAAAATAGCAAGTGACTCGGTTTATTTGTTGTCCAGTGTATTTCCACGTTGTTTTGGTATAATACCACGAGTACACAAACTAGTTTGCGGTCCGTTTGCACTGCAGCCTACAGCCTATACTTACATGCCAGCAATACAACACAATGCTTGCTGTGCATTGACCCTCTTTATCCATCCTATAATCCGTGAAGCCCTAGAAATACTACTAAAAGGTATAACACAATGGTATATGATAACGGCTAGTTTGTATTATTAGAAATGAATTCTAGCAGCTCATTCTGAAGCTCATAAATTCTGCTGGAAACACGTCGACCTGTTATATCTTCAAGAACAACCATGAAATCAGAATGTCTCGCGATTGTTGAATGATCGAATAACAACACTTTTTTTTGTTCCAGGTTATTTATTATTTAAGGAATTCTGTGAACAGACGTCAGAGGAACCAGTGCCACAATTAAAATTTTATGAAGAGGTAATGTGGATTTTATGATGACGCGTTCAATCTGTTTTTAATAGCTTCTTTAATTTATTATGTTGGTACAATATGACTGATGTCTTCTTTCATCGTCGTCGTAAAATGTTATTATGAAAAATGTTTGTTTAAAATTGTAATAATTCAATATAATTATTTTTTTTATTCAACAGATAAAATTATATGAAAAACAAGAGTGTATAGAAGAGAGGCGGCGGATTGCTAGAGACATTTATGACAATTTTATTATGAAAGAACTATTAGCACATTCACACGTGAGTATAAATATGAATTGTAGTGTATGACGGTGAACAAAGTGTGCAACTACATAATGCGCATAACAATAAAAACAATTAAGTACTTGTAGCTTAAGCGTCAGTTAATAGTCACGTCCCGGCTCTCGTACAACCGCAGGCAGTGGTGATTGTTTGTATAATGAGGGTCGTTAGTTGGCACTTGGCTCGGTGCCTGCTAACCAGCCGCCACCTACACAGCTAGCATACTTGCACACTAGTTTAGCATTAGGCAGACACCACACCCGTAGGATAAGAGTGGGAAGACCCGGTCTACACACGACACGCTATACCAGGTACAGGTACGTACCTGGGCGTTTTTCCCCGTCGCCCACGACAACGGCTAACTAGAGCCGAGGTTTGAGTCTCAGAGACGCCCTCTAGTTGAGCCGACCCTAGGTTCGAGTGGTTTAGAGGCTCCAGACGGAGAGGAAACTCCCTCCGTGAGGAAATGCCATCCGCCTGGAATACCTCTAGAGGCACTTGCCAATTCTCGGCTTGAGTTCCCCTTAGGATCTGTGACTCGGTAAAGGTCATCTGCGACCAACAGCATACACACAAAAAAGCCGCCACCGTCCATGTTGCTTGGTAGATGTTTGCAAACGACCGAACTATGCGACGGTCGGGCTTTGCTGCTCTTGTAATTTGTCCGTAGCCAGGGGGGATTTACACCCCCCATCCCCCCCTCCCGTAGAATTACTGAATCAAATCATAGTATAGATCAGTCATGATCAAGAATGTCTTTCTGTGGCCTCACAGTCAGCCGCCCCTGTCCATATATACCATATTTTTTCTGTCACTAATGGATTAGTCAAACGTCAACGTTCTCTGCACTTATCACCACATGGCACATCTGAAGAAATTGTTGACAATACTTACCAGGATAATTCGTGATCCATTTTAATCTAGCATCCATCAACACCTTACGCGATCAACCTGACTTCAATCTAACCAACATCACGGACGGAACTGACGCTATATTGATCGTTCAATGGCCGCATTAGTGGATACACGTTGATCAACAATACCACATTGTTGATCGACGGTATATTTCTTGATTACTACAATAACCAAATCGCCTGCTAGTAGCGACGGACGTAACGATTGCTTACATATATAATATGTTATCATCAGGCACTGTTTGTTGCACGAGATATCCACAGACCACAGTTCGTTGGGGAGCAAGGAGTATCACATATGGTCCTGCGTGGCATGTCCTTGGTCAGTCGATCTGCCTGAGAGATGTCAGATTTGAGGAATGCTCAAATCTGCCTTGGTAGTATTGTTCAGCGCGCTCAGGGCGGATATAGTTTGTTGCGCTTGTTTGCGCCATGTATAAAAAATGTCTCAATTTTATGGTATCTACGATTCTGAGTGAAACTAAATAGTATTAACTTGCACGAAACATCCGACAGGGCCTTTATTCCGTGGCTAACTTCCGTGACGACTACGGGAGTCCTCAAGCACGTGATGTCGTGACCATAATAAATATTTCAAAAACTTCTAAAATATAAAATTAATCGCTATCAAAGTATTTACAAAATCTATGTTAAAATACGTATAATATATTTGAATATGTTAATAGGTATTTTAGAAAATCTGGACCTTAGTTAGCATCGCCCATCTTTTTCTCCGCCATGCGAAAGTTACTCAACTTCCGCTATCGCAGACCGAACGTGATGTTTACTGCGCCATTGAACTTCTCGGACCATGAAGTGTGTGAATTCGTAGAAATGTACAGCCGCCTTTACATGTTAGCCAAGCGAAGGCCAATAGAGTCTGTGCGGAAAGAGAATGGGCGTGACGAAAAGCGGAACTAACAATAAGATTTTTATTTGGCAATCAAACCCAGCAATCTGTAAAACGTCAAAGTCTTGTATTGATACGGATTTGTTTGTTGTTGTGATTTCTTGAGGTTTTTTGTATTTAATCATGTCTAAAAGGTGTAAAACCTTACAAATACGGTAGAGTAAGCACTACAGCCCCCTCCAATCTAAATCCTATTCTCTTTCCGCACAGACTCTACCAACGTAGCTGTTGACTGCCCGGAACTCCTATCAAAGATCTTGTTTAGAGTTCCCCCCAAACCCCTTAGGATTGATCCTATTTTAAGTATACCCCCTACTTCTACAAATTATCGGCAGAACGCTTTTCTTTGTCGAGCGAGTAGCAGCTTCAACTCACTATCAAAGCAGGTAAATTTAGATCTTTTTAACACTAGCGAAGCGTCGATTAGACGTATTATTGCTCGTTTGTTTTTTTTAAGATAAAAATTAATGTAATAATAACAAACATTTATTTCAGAATTTAAATTCATAGAAGTGTTAGTTATTAACATGTGCGTAATTCGTTATTCTGTTATTTATCATAAGAACCTCATTTATAAAACTATATTTAAGAGATTTTATCTACATTAGACAGTGCAAATAGTTTCTTTATTCTTTTAAGTTATGTCTAGATGTGAGGACCTGTAATTGGCTCTTTGTCGCTACTATTCATTTCTAGTATATTAAGATAAGCTGTTGGTCTTCCATGTAACCAAAATAAATAAAAATAAATAAAAAATAAACGTATAGACAGCACATTTGTCTTGACTTATCATCTCAGTGTCTCTTTGTGCTCAATGTCGCTTGCCTAATTTGCTAAGTAAAGCAAAGAGCCAACGTGTTCAAACCTCATTTGGCGCTTTTCTGCACTCGCTGTTGCTCGCCAACATTTGTCTCACGTTGTCCATAATAACTGATAGCGCGCATAATAACGTAAAGGCAGCTGCACTTTTTTGTTTTTTGAGTGTGTATGCTGCTGGTCGCAGATTACCGTTACAGCGTCACTGGGTTTGGGGACGGCGAGATCCTACGGGGACCTCAAGCCGAGAATTGGCGACTTAGTTTTTTTTTTTTTTTTTTTTTTTTTTTATTATTTTTAATTATTGAGTTAATTTATTATATCTTTAAATAGTACCCAAATGTATAGCGCTGTTATAATATGAAATAAAAATTAGGAACTGTAGACAAAATTATAAAAAATATTATTAAATTGAAAGGAAGATTATACTAGACACGTTAGAAAATGACCAGAACATTAATTAGCTTTTAGTGCATTGACATACTTTTCTCTTTCCTAAATGGTAAATTACTATGTGTATTTCCGGCACCTAAAATCCTCATTTAGTTCATGCGAATAATTAGCGTTTTAACGTTGGGATCATTGGGGTAGGTCTGGTAACTGGTGTAAAGTTGATATCTGCCCCGGTCCGGTCATCAACTTTGACCGAGGTACTTCGCCTCAATTGTGGAAAATGACCCAGTTAAAAGTAGCTCTTTGTTAAATAAATTGAAGATATGAAGCCGGGTTTTTAAATCCGACTTGAATTGTTTTCAGACCCTGGATTAAAGGAGAACTTTTTAATTTGGCCCTTGCATTTTAATTGTGAACGCTATTTTTATGATAATATAGTTGTTTACGTTATTAACGCGCTATTGTTTATGGTAATTAGTATTAAATACACTCACCGGCACGGAAACTTGGCCACCCGTTACTTTTGCTTTGATTTGAATACAATATTTATTTTTGCATTTTATATAATTTAGATCTAACCCATGTTCACTTTTATAGTGGTTTTTAACAATTTTTTACGTGTTCATGAAATTATTGCATCAAAAAGAAAATTTTGATGAAAAGTGTCACTTTCACAGAAAGTTTTACTTAATTTTCAATCAGTGCACACTGAAAAGTCAACTTTTTTTTGTTTTTTTTTTTGCACACGTCAGTATCGGGTGTTTCCACCCCTTGCCCTGATGACTGCCTGCATCTGATCTGGCATGCTTTGGATGATGTTTCTAACATCAACTTGCGATAAGGTCTCCCATACGGTCAATACTGCATTTCGAAGCTCGCCTAGCGTTTGCGGCGGATTAGAATAGGATTTAATTTTTCTTTTGAGTATGTCCCAGATGTGTTCAATGGGGTTTAAGTCCGGGCTACGCGCAGGCCACTGTAATTTTTTAATACCAAGGTCTTGCAGGTAGTCCTTAACGCATTGTGCAACGTGTGGCATTATCGTGCATTAACTGGAACTGGTCGTATCCAATAAGCCCCATATAGGGTACAACATGATCCTGTAGGATCTCCTTAATGTATCGAGTTGCAGTTAACCGATTGTCAATGATAACCAACTCCGTACGAGCGTCGGAACTTATTCCTCCCCATACGATTATGGAGCCTCCATGAAAACTAACAGTTTCAGTAGTAGTAATAGGAAGAAACCTCTCTCCTCTTCTTCTCCGTAATCGACCGTCTGGTGCACGTAACGCGATTCTGCACTCATCCGTGAACAAAACTTTAGCCCGTTGCTCGTGTGTCCAGTTGGCGTGTTCTCGGACGAAACGAAGCCGAGCTACTCGGTGCTGTCTGGGGAGTTCTGGACCTCGGGCTGGTCTTCGCGCTTTTAAATTCACCTCCTCCATTCTTCTTCTTATCGTACGCTGACTTACATTCACACCTCTTGCAATTTGGAGTCGCTGTCGTATCTCATCCGCAGTGAGGTAGCGGTTTCTCAAAATTTCCAAAACGATAAACGAACGTCCCGAGTACATTGAGAACGCGGCACATTGTGTACAATAGCCACCTCACGTTGGGTGAGCCCTTGGTCAATTAGGGCTACCGCTTGTGCAACTTGTGCTGGCGTTAAAGGCATTTTTTTTGCTTTTTAAATAAGTTTGCACTTTAATAAAATCCAATACAACACAAAAATAAAAAAAAAGCGCTACAGTAAAGTACGTTTTGTTGTTAAGTAGTACACATAACAACATTCAAAACTTCAATTATATTGCTTAAAATACGCGATGTGACTAAATCTCACAATGCACACCATGAAACGCTCAAACATAATGAATTACCCTCTTAAAACAAAGCTTAGCATTTTTATGACCCACCTTCATAAAAACACTTGTTGTAAACACTTGAAACTTATGCTATAGCTTAAGAAGTGTTTGGCCAAGATTCCGTGCCGCTGAGTGTAGTATTTAAAAATATTTTCTTGGTTTCAGGATTATTCTAAGGAATGCGTAGCGCATGTACAAAAGTATTTAATGAAGCACGAAGTGCCACCAAATTTGTTTGAGGTAATTATTATTTTATCAAAAACTTACTTCTTCAAAGACTTCTATTTGAAGATATTTGATATTCATTTAATGTAATTTTTTTTTCGTAGCCATATATCGAAGAGATATTCCAACATCTACGAGGGGAACCGTTTAAAAATTTTTTAGAAAGGTAAATATTTTAATTATATTATTGATTAATTTTTTTATAGTACAATTAATAATTTAAGTAATAATAATCATATGTTTTTGCAGTGATAAATATACAAGATTTTGTCAATGGAAAAATTTAGAACTCAATATTCAATTAACAATGAACGATTTTAGTGTTCATCGTATCATCGGTCGGGGAGGTTTTGGTGAGGTAAGAAATCATAAATAATAATTTTACCGTAAATTAGTGAGGTAAAAGTAACATATAAATAACTAATGTTGTAAATAAAAAAATATTTATGGCTACATTTTTTTTCTTATGCTTCTCCCACGCTTGAACTAATATTCAGTACACATTTGACATATAAAGAAGATCGATTCAACTATTCGAATTCGATAATGGTTCGTGCTAAGGGTACTGCACTACAAAGTTATCATCTCTTTGGTGTGTGTCAAAAACCGCCAGTCAAGCTAGTCACTAATCTTCACGGAGCTCCATAAAGCTGCGTATTCATTAGGCAACATTTGTGTAAACGCTGTTTATAAACAGTATTTGGCAATGTTACATCACCTCCTTATACAATCTAGAAACAGTTTATAAATAAAGTGATGAACTTCATAAACAGTTTATTAACAAATATTGCCTAAAGAATACGCGGCATAATTCATTACTAATGAACTTATTCAAATTTCGAACGATGATTTTGGCGCATTAAATACCGCTGCTTCGTCGCATAGGTGTGGGAGTGAAATTAGAAGAAGAACTGTACCCCTAGCACGAACCATTATCGAATTCGTAACGTTTGCGAGTGCGAAATGTCAATGTCAAATTTTGTATGGAAACTTGAACAGCAGCTCCACAAAGTACGTAACAAGAACTAAAAATCAGGACACATTTGACAGTGACATTTCGGACTCGCAAACGTTACGAATTCGATATTAGTTCGTGCTAAAGGTACCTACTGTAGTTCAATAATTACTTGGATCTAGAAGATTTGTAGGATCTTATTTTATTAATTTTCTTTTCAATGCGCAACATTTTTTCTTAAACTTGAAAATTCGATCTTATTCCTTCCAAATAACGTCTGTTTACTCTTCGCATAGGTGTACGGATGCCGGAAAGCGGACACAGGCAAGATGTACGCAATGAAGTGCCTCGATAAGAAACGTATCAAGATGAAACAGGGCGAGACACTAGCTCTGAACGAGCGAATCATGCTTTCTTTGGTCAGCACTGGGGTAAGTTTTGTAGACATTTATAGCCGAAACCGACTTTTGAATCGCGACGCCAACCGACGCCACGCGACGCGTGTTGAATCAAATCAAATGTACTATTTTCTATGATCAGAATCACATTAGGAACATCCGTTGCAACGCGATGCGCAGACACTGATCATAAAAAAAAGCATCAAGTGGCGTCGGGTGACATCACGTTTCAAAAGTCTGTTTCGGCCTTTATTCTTAAGCATTCTTAGAATCACTAGCACAACTCTTTAGGATACACGAATAATCGAGGCGACAAACTGTCCAAATCCCATAACATCCGATGGGCAAAATACGGCGCCATCCAACTTTATGTGCTCACTTACAGATACTAAATAGCTTAATGCCATAGCCATTCTCTACCAGTCAACCAGTAAGGGTGTAGGAGACGGATGTTATAATAATGGCCATAGAGTTTGTATCGCTAAAAGTTTGGTTCGATTCAAAAATGAAAACTGCTAGTTAGATATGTACTACTATTTATTATTTATTCTGTAGAAAATTTAATTTGACTTTAGCTTAGAACAAAAATAAAAGTGCAAAAGCATATAATATGTAGGTTTTATTACAAGCTGATTGTATAGAATTGACTAGACTATAACGTGATCAAAATCGTATAAATCTTATCGGGTGAGTGTCCGATAATTATACTGCAGGTCCTATGAGTAGGCAATGCTGGTAAGTAGGCATATTTCTTTTCATAAAACGTTAATATAAATTATTACAGATCAGGACGATTTCATATCATTTTCACCTTATCATTGTGCTGTGTTAATAACATTGTAAACATCAAACGATTCATTATGAAATAAAACAATTCGCTACTCGTATTTCACATGTGCTACAAAGGCAATAAAAAGTTAGCTTATCAATCGCGGTGTTCTGTTTGTCTGTCAATGATTTTTTTAACAAGAACATTATGTAATTCCTATACATTAACCTTATAACCACAAAAAGTAAGACATGCGTTCACTAGTTTACGAAAAAATATCATACAAAATTTGTCCAAACATGATTTGAAACCGTGTAAAACTTTTGTTGTAGTAGACCGTATATATTTTCTTAAACAAATCTTAACGTTACAGTTATACTTTCCACTTACGGTGTTCCAAATAACTGGAGTAAGTATCTGAGCAAGATTTTGCACATTACATTCTGTAGAATATCGATGAATTGAAGAATGAAACAAATTAAAATGCAGTCGCAATTCAATGTATGGGTATAATGTGAAAGATATAAAATTCAGATTTATATCCGACTTTCAATTTAAAGACAAAAAATTTACTTGGAAGTTGGAAAATAATATCGTAATTCGTACTCTCTTCGTAGCCTTCCTGAACTTGTTCAATCTACGTCTACTCGTTGCTTGCGTGGATATAGGGAACCTGGGCACTGTAGAGCTTCTTTATACAGCTGAAGCCGTAGCCAGTTTCCATTAAACGTCTGTTACATCGCTGTTGCATACAGCCAGTGTGCTAGTTGGGATGTCACTGACATCATGGATACATGATGAGGACATGTCCGACATATTGGATTTAAAGTGACGTTACTTTATTTTATTCTCATCAAGTTCTTTCATTTGCTACCCATATTGTAGGAGTTGCATCAAAAATTACTAGTCCGCCATATTGGATTTAGTATGACGTCACACAGCTCTTCATGCATTGGCATCCAAACTAAATGTGTGTAAAAAATTTCAGCTCAATCGAATGAAGACATACTGCTTCAAAATTGAGTTACAAGATTCCATCCGAACAAACATACGTACATTGCAAGTTAAATAAAAGATTTTAAATAATGATTCGCCAATTATAGTTTCGTTAAAACTAGGTTTATGTAAAGAAAAAGTTTGTTAAATATTATTTTGTTTGTCAAATTGAACATAGCGTACCTAACGTCTAAAATAAATGAGGAAAGGAAATATAAAACATTGGAAGTACGATAAAAAGCAACTAAGAATACTTTTTCTTCTCAATTCCCTTCCCGTAATCAATGGCAATATGAATTCTATTGGGGGTTGAGATTGAGATTATTCCATTTTTACTTTCGTTGCACCTCTAAAATGCTCTTTTAACCTCTCAAAGGATATATGGCATGAAAATTTAAAATCTTCATGATTGCAATGTACATAAACATCAAAATTGCATAGGAAAAATGCGATTATGTACGCAAATACACGTACGTAATTGATGCTGGCAGCTAAAAATGCTTGATTTGCTTGTTCAAACAAGTGGTTTGTAAAAAAATTAAAAATAAAAATACTTTGGAAGTTCGATAAAAAGCAACTAAGAATTCATTTTCTTCACAATTCCCTTCCCGAAACCAATGACAATATGAACTTTATTGGGGGTTCTATGAGATTACTCCATTTTTTACTTTCGTTGCACCTCTAAAACGCTCTTTTAACCTAGCAAAGGATATATGGCATGTATATTTATGATCTTCATGATTGCAATGTATTCGTACATAGACATCAAAATTGCATAGGCAAAAAAGCGATTATGTACGCAACACACGTACGCAATTGATGCTGGCAGCTAACATTGGTTAATTTCCCACAATAAAAAAAAACACAAATTTTCCTTATTTTTTATAAATGAAGCAGTAAGCTAAACACGTTGTTAAATTATATAGGAATTGAAGTAACAAGCTAATATGGACGAATTTTTGGCAAGTAAATATTAATTGGAATTTTTTTTAATGCAACCTATTTAACTTTGATGAATAATAATAAAATTCTGAACGGTTCACTACTCTGTCAAAAGGATTATGATAAGGTCATTTCTATTTTATGTGGATATTTCCATATGTGTAGGAATCATATTACTTAAAAACAGCAACATTTATGTGACACATTGCCATATTAATGATTAAATATTTGCGTCTGTTACTTTCATGATTTATAAGTTGCTAATTCAAAACAATGCTTATCAAACATAATGTGACCTTTTTCCTAATTTAATGAAATATGGTTTACGTTTTTATGGGGTGTGAAGTGTTATTTTTGTGTGCATGTCTTCTAAGGTCTCCAAGACATCCGGAGGGTTATTTTATTATTTTTAAAGCGCATAAAAACGTAGCTTTTTAATGTTTTATGATGTAATTAAATATTAAAACGTGTCGGGTCATAGATTTGCAGTTTATAATACTATTATTATTTTAAAAACTTTGACGATTTGACAACAGCATCAGCTTTATTTAATTCGATGAACGATTCTTTTTATCACTTCTTTCGACCTTAAGTACGTAGTTCCATTTACAACGGTAAGGAATATCATAGAAATTATGTACGAGTATAAAATGAATTAGTTTTAAGATATATTTTATAATATTCACCATTCGTAAGTAAAACATCAATGGATGAATCCATCATGTATATGAGAAAAAGCATCAGCTATCCGGCCACTAAAATAGAAGCCCATTGATGATTATGATATCATCATCGGCGTAACGATCCGTTTTAAAATACTTGACCCAGGTGAAACCACGTTGTTTACTTTAGTAAATCGAAAACATCTGCTGCTACCATTAAAGCAGTCTGAAAGTATCCAAGAGTCGAAAAAACATTTGTTTTCTGTTTTATAATTTCAATTTTTGTTTATTCTGTTCAAAATCGTTTTATTGTGTTAAAAGGGTGGCAAAAAAGCGTATGGCCTGATAGTAAGCGGCAACCATAGCATATAGACGCTTGCAATACCAAAAATGTCACTCGCATTCTTAGAGCCCTGGAACACAACACGCATCAAATGGTAGTTTTATTTTACTGTGATGTTCTGTAAGGTGGAGGTTTCCGAGCCGGGCGCTCAAATTCGAGCGGCCAATGCGCTATACTCTACCTATCTTTATCCAGGAGGATATCAGAAGTACTTACGATTGTTTGCTGAAGAATGTTTATAATTTATGTGACACGTTTCTAAAGGCCGCTACTGACCTCATTTTTGAGGACACACTTGATATTCTGAAGTAAGAAGTTAAGTAGCAAAAGGAAGTAGACATAAACAAATAAGTCAAGCGTCAGGAGCGTTTCCCTTTTGTGTAAAAAGGGCTCGGCTTTCTCACTGACGGGACGGAACCTTGTCGTTGCATGAGGGTCGCCGGTTTGTACAAAAAACAACTAGTAATTGAATGTGTTCACGAGGCAACGGCACGGTCGTATATAATTTTTTGACCAACGAGCAACAGTTGTAAAGTGGAGGGCCAATGGTTTGCAGTAAATTGTACTCATCTCCAAGAGTCGATATGTTACAGTCTCGAACAGAGTCCCAAATTGTACCCTTCAAATATATAGGTTAAGGAAGAATCGCCAGTGCGCAAACTCCGTCGGTAAAGGGCTGTGTGCCTGTGCCTGTGTAGTACGTAACTGCGTCGTCTACCTATATACTTATGATGAGAGTTACTTCACATTTTGCCCTAGGTACTCAGTATGCTCTCTCGCGAGGTTTGACTTTATTTTATTCGCGGCCCGGAGTCCGCGATTCCATGTTTATATTGCCAGCAATATGTTTAATATAGCGGCGGCATTTATTTCCCCTTCTTGCTGGTAAACCGCAAATAAGAAAACAAATAACACATTTCGGCTACACGCCTACGTAAAATGTTTGAACGGTGATTTTCAATAACCGATTGACTCTTTATCGATACTTAAATGTCTAAATATGTGACCCTGTATTTTAAATTTTCTGTCGCTTTTAAAATATGTAGTCATTATTCATATGTATACTTTCTAAAAAGTACATTTAGTTAATCGTAATAAATTTGTAAACTCAATACATTTTATAACTTTCATATATTTTTTTAATAAAGTCTGCCCTGACAGCATTTATTATTACACGCGTAACTTCATAAAGCTCGTAGTGTAATCGATTTATTCGGAAATAAATTTAGTGATGTAAACTCCGGATTACAAGCGAAATGGACTACGCTGCCTGGGTTCGGAGCAAAATTTATGGAAAGTTCGCTTGTGTCAGACTAAGAGG